TATTATTTGTCGTCTACTTGAACATGGCACCGAGAGGGAAAAGAATTGAGTGACGATGTGACAAAAAATGATAATAAAATTGTCAAATGATGGTGTTTGTGGTCGTTGCGAACGTTGCCGTATCGCTGTTTAATTGGGAGTCGAACTGAGACATTATATCCGTCGAAAAACATAAACGCAAAGTTTCCACCAGTGACGTTAGCCGAGTGAAGCAACTGCAAACAAAGAAACGGGGTGCTACGGAGTAGTTTAATGTAGGAGGCTGTACGAGGCGATGACAACGGACATGCATCGTGACGTCGGTTACCAAGGGGGCAGACGAGCAAGGCGTAGTGACGTCATTACAGTGTGACGTCATGCAAAAAGTGTACTACAGAACAACATTCTTCCGCAACCTCTAATGAAACCGGTTTCGGTTTGAAACCATAAAAATAACAAAAATACGCTATTTTGTCAATTTAAAGCATGTAAGACGTGGGTAATAAATAAAATACTACACTCGGTCTCATAACATACGAATTATACGTAATTCGTGACCTTCCTATGGTTTCTGACCTCGCTTTCGCTCGGTCAGATACCATAGGAAGGACACTCGTTTCGTATAATTCGTATGTAATGAGACCTCGTGTAATATTCTCTATATATTTTTTTCAATCAATTTGATTTCTTTAAATATGCTAAAATCAGGTTGTTCAAAAAAGGACAGATAAAGTGTGAATATTATCATGAAAACGTTGTCTAAATCAACAAATGTAAGCAGTATGTGCTTGATTGTAATAGGACTGTTGCAAAGGATGCAAAAAGGGGGATTTTCACCTCACCTCAATAAAAATCAATGTGTATAAATGTGTGTCCAATACACACAACGTCATCATAGCAGTGTCTTCACGTTCATTGAGACGCCACCAGACACGTCTTGCACCTATCTTGTAAGTCTAGACTGTGCCTCGATTCGTCTGAAATCATTACAGATCATAGGGAAATATCACAGATTTAACGATCTGAACATTACTGGCATCTGGTAAGAATGTATGGATTTGTTAACGGCAGTTCAATAACGGAAGCCGTGCATGCAATTCGTTGTGTGCAGACGATTTCTCAATAACCTGACAGTAGCCTGGCGTGTAGAGCAGTGCATAGTGTATAGCAATGTGACCGGGTGCTTGGGCTCCATGTCTTAGTGCATCATTTCTGACTTAAGGATTCCAGACATTTGTTCTTGACATTGGGCGCTCAGCGCATACCTGTCATTATATTCTGCGCTGACCTGTTACAAAGTGAGTGTCAGTAGGACTGAAGTGACTTTCATAAATTATCTGCACCTTCTGTTGTTTTCAAACCCCTACGTAATATTTATTCAAGTTCTTTACATATAGGCAACTACATCAAGCCATCAAAGTGAAAGCAGCTACAAAAGCCACCAAAGTTAATCGCATGCAACAATCCACCAAAGGTAGATCACCATACTAGGGACCATGGGTACTTACAGTACATTTGCTTCCTGCATGGGCCCTACCTGGATTTACACCATCCCCTCAGCCGTTAGCAATTTAGACACATCTAGCAATACATGAATATAGTGAGTAGTTATGATGCTTAGAGTAGTTGTCAGCAATAGTCAGACGTCCCTGCTTAAATCTACGATCCTGATATATGCGGCGTCGCGTCTTACCGACTAGCTAAAACCACATCTCGCCCAATTTCTGTTGTGCTTCATTGTATGAAGCAATAAGTAATATTCACAAAGAGCCGTTAAAAATGAATCATCTTGTTACGGATTAGAAATTACTGTCACATAAAGTCTTGTGAGTCCCCTTTAAACCAGCAAAATAGAACACAGATAAGTCTATAATATTTAATTTCCAGAAATTATTCAGAAAGATGTTTTGGCAAATATAATATATTTATATAAACTACAGAAATTTTACTGAAACGAATATGTTGAGATATTATTCTCTTACAGTCTAACTGTCTTTTCAGTAGTTTGTGAGACCTCCTTGCCCTCCAATACACGACTGAATGCGCCTAGGTACACTATCATATGACAGCGTATCCCAATATTCGACCACTTCTTTCTTCATAGCCTTAATATTTCTAAGTCCCGTTTGGTTTATTCTGATCTTCATTAGTTCCCACACATTCTCAATGGGGTTAAGATCTGAGCTGTAGCTGGGCCAGTCTCAAACTTGAACATTTTCGTCCTACAACCACTGTTTTGTGTAGCCCGCAGTGTGTTTTGGGTCGTTATCATGCTGGAAAATCAAATTATCTTCATATAGTACTTCGGGCCGATGGAAGGGGTGACCATTTAATATGTGAACAGATCGTTCCTTCGTCGAATTTCCGATGTCAATACACAATGGCGTCACTCCACGTGATGATATCCCACCCCACATGTGAGATATCGGGCTGTTTTGGGCGTTGGTAGATAAGTTTCACTGTATCTGTTGTCCAATTGTTCACATCAGAAAAGAAAACATAATCCCAATCTTGATTTTCGTGAGCACTACACCAGTTTAAACGTTTTTCTTTTTGTGTATCTTTCATCAATGTTGAAGTCTGAAATTCCGCGCTTTTTCACGCAGTAAAGTCTTTGTAATTCTTGTCTAAGGGTTTCATTACATACCTGAAGACTTCCTCTGTTATTCGTCTCAATTTTCCCTACTCACAATCTGACCAAATCGAAGGCGATCTGTAGTAGGCCTACTGAACTTCCTTGGCCTCCCTAGCCCTGTCTTGTGCTCAATCCAAACTCCTGACTGAATATTCTTCAAAATTCTGTATACAGTGGGCAAAGGAATGTCATGTCTACCAGCTAACTCTTTTGCATTAGTCACACCCCTTTCAAAATCATCTAGAACCAGTCATCAAAGGAAGCCGTCTGCTACACCTGGGGAGATAACTCTTGATGTAGTAATGTTCATTCTTCAGCCTACAGGAGCGGTGGGGTAGCCCAGTGGTTAAAGCGTCCGCTCGTCACGCTGAAAACCCGGCTTCGATTCCCCACATGGAAACAATGTGTGAAGCCCATTTCTGGTGTCCCCAGAAATATTGCTGGAATATTGCTAAAAGCGGCGTAAAACTAAACTCACTCTTAAGCCTACAAGAGTTGCCTCCCATGTTGAGTACTTTCCTACATAATGTAACACCTATTTAAAATTGTATTATCAGTATCAGGAAAAAAAAGAGTTTGTCTATAATTTCTGGAATACTATACATGTACTTGACCTGTCAGTCAAGCTTTGACGAGGTCATTGTAAGACAATCCTCAGAGGGTACGAACGTCATAAAACATTCAAAGTATGTGTATTCGTACAATAGTTTGAATCGTTGAATATATGTTATTCTAATCCATAGCTAAATTTGCCTACAATCGCTAGTATCTGAAGGGATAGTGTAAATCCACCTGGGATCCATGCAGGAAGCAAGATCATTGTAAATCCTTATGGTCTCTGGTATGGTGACCTACTTTCAGCAATGTTCAGTAATTTACATAGAAATATCATGGTTACATGCAAGTTTCAGATATTTACTGTGCTTTGTTGATAGGTATATTCATCGTTTGAATTATTTTTTTTATCAATGCATAGCTTCATAGTTACGACATGGCTGAAATACTGCCGAGGTGACTCTGAAGTCAGTCATTCACTCCTTTCTATATTGACTATATTCTTGTTGATGTCGTTTAGTTTAAATAACACCCACCCGGACTTTATTAGTTTGAATACCATGGAGGAGAAGGTAAAAAGAAACAACGAGATTTAAGCAGCAGAAAGAACATATTTTATTTTTTGTGCTAGAGGTGGACAAAAAGTGATGAATTCTGACTGTGGAAGACGTTTGTAAGGTTATGACTTTCTCACTCCATGTTACCCGGAAGAGAAGACTGGTATGCTAAATATCTGAATAAGATCAATTTGTCCTAGATTGAATATTGATGATATAAAATAATGTCCGAAAAATCTGCAATTCATCAAAATTAGTCTTAATTCCTCTGTACAATGCTATTGAACTAATCCCCCTACTTTGGTGAATCATTTTCGAGATCCACTCTGAATGGCGCCATTCTGAGAAGTTAATAATAATAATAATAATATGTGTATTTATAATGCGCTGAATTCCACACATAAGGCATGCTCAAAGCGCTACATATTTACAAATATTTACAAAGCAAAGGTTATGCTAGAACGAGGCTGAAATTTTTGGAAAGTTAAGTTATAGATCGTAATATTTTCTGAAAAGATGGGTTTTGAGGGAACTTTTAAATGAGTCCATGGAGGGAGACATTTTGAGTTCAGTCGGGAGTTGATTCCACAACTGTGGAGCACCATAGCTGAAGGAGCGAAACCCGAATGACCGGAGTTTTGACCGATGTTCTAATGTTACTGGCAGACTTCGGTTACGATTTCGCACTTCTGTCAGCAAACAGAACGCAATATTTACAACAGACTTATTAGGCATTTGGAACATGTCCAAGTGAATGGAATGTAGAATCAATGTTTCCTTTTTCCTCCAAGTGGTGATATTGATTTGACATGTTAGAAATGGACAAACCGAATGAAATAGGATATCAAGCAATAAGTTTTGATATTGGTTTATCTAACTGAACATTGAATTTCATTTCGAGATCTTTTGTTTTGTGATTGTTGCCCTGACGACAGCAAATGACGCGACTGGTGAACACTGTCAGCGTTCGAAACATGTTCGTACTCAAACAGTATTTTACTCGGTATGACGTGAATGAAGCCAATCAATATACGCTGTCACGACAGCACAAGTCGCATTGTATTGCGTGTCCCAATGCTTGCGATGAAAGGGCGCCTTTGTAAGTTTGTCTATAATAAATTTATCAACTGGATCGATGTGTAAATAAAGGATTCGATTTACCTCTGATTATGTCCCTTTGGACAGTATGTAGTGAAAACGGCATGACACTACTAACTGTTACCATCTTATCCGGGCTTTGACGTAGATGGTTTCCAACACCACAGAGGCACAAACATCACTCGGAGAGATATCCAACAGTGGGGATCTTGTTCCAGTGGGGTATTTCAACATCTATTTGGCCAACAAGTGACTGTGAGTTTGACTTATGAATACTGTTTCGTTCATATATTCCCAGCAAATAGCCTTTAAGGTAACGAAATATATTACGAAATAGTACAGACACTGAAAAATGGACGATGGATGGATACCACTACGTTAGAAATCGTAAATTGAATATAGTGGTGAACCTGTAAAGTAGGATTTTTTGCTCGTTATTTTCAGACATATTACTTAACCTTGTGCACTCATACATACCTAAAGGGCAAACTAATGCGAACGGCAGATTCTAACTGTGCCTAATGCTGTTATGTTATGCAAGAAAAAAATCCTATATCCTTGCATAGTGCTGATACTGAGAGAAACATTACATGTATGTGTTAATTTACATTTTCAGTGGTCATGCCGAATGTATTTGAAAATCACATCTTCTGGCAACTATTTTAAGTGGCTTGTAGATGCCACATTTGGCTTGTCAGAGTTGTGTCCCTCAGGTACATCCGAAAGCTAGTCCAATGACTCGACTAATGATATATTTCTAAGTTTGTCAGCAAGATACCATTGCTTATGGGGTTTCATCGATATGAGAAATATTTGATGCTCTCTTCAAACATTGCTCGACACACTGGTATGCTGTTCAAAGCAGCAATAAACCTAACCCACTCATTCACTTATTTCGGTTTTGACAAAAATGGCTGACGAATGACCACAAAATTGTTTTCAAAGATGCGTATGTGGCGGCCATGTTAAAAAATCAGATCTGAACCTCTTAAATAATTTAGAATAGATAATGAAACCAAAGAGGCAAAGGGTGCAGAAAATAAGATGTCAAAGAGTTCTGACCAAACATCGCCATGAAAGGTCGAATCCAAACAGAAAACTAAAGGCCAAGACGGAAGGAACAAATCGGGATAACACAGTCCTGTGGTTGATATGTGATGCTCTTAAAGGGGAAGTGTACACGAAAAATTCACACTTTTCTCTTATGTGAAACAAAATGGAATTTTGAATTAGTTAATATCAATACTTGAAAATATACACTCATTTTTCTTTCAATGAAGGTATAACCCTCAAAATAAGTGCTGAAATGTTATGCCATTATGAGGCCTTTGGTTGCCGAGCGAAACAGGCCAGAGTTACCCCCTTTGATTATGACATAATTTGTGCCAATTGATTTAGACTGGTTTCCTGTCTAGTCCCAAAGCAAAAGATATTAATACTGAAAATAATCACGTGAAAAAAGTGTGTAAAAATAAGAAAGAAGTATTAGAACTGAAAATGTAAGCAGCAGGACAGATTAATCGTATGCATTTTCATTCATAAACCTCACCTCAATGAAAATACCAAATATGTAGATGAACGTTGATGTCCATATCACTATCGGGAAGTGCGTGTTCACCCACACGAGTACAGCGGATATTTGGAAGAAAACTCTCGTTGTTTCGTTCAATGCATGTTCTAAAACTTATGAGCAAGTGTACGCAACGAGTAGACGAACGGATCTCTCACAGCATTGGCGGTTCCAGAGGGGGGAGGGGGGGAGGGGTTCGGAACCCCCTTCGAAAATGACTTAAGGCCACATTGAAGATTTTTTTTGCGTTGGCGGAGCCAATGGGGGGTTCGCCCATGCACAGTATGAGAAAGTGATAAACAGTGTAAAACCTGAGCTTGGCTTTGTTTACATTTCAAACATGTGGTCCTTTCCCAGCGCGGCATTCGTTTTCACTTCTGGTATATTTCGCTAGATTTCACTGGGACAACAACAAAAATACCGGTGATCACAATGAAACGTTATATTTTTTATCAAATTCAGTACTCCAAGTATAATTCAACATTTCATGAAGACATAGAGCGGTGTCGGGTGTAACCGAACAGTTAACACCATATCCCCCCTATTTCCTGTTTTATTATAAGCAATAAGTAGCACTAACAAAGAACCGTTCAGTGGGAATAATATATACATACAAAAGCAAGTAAGTCCTGTCCCTCTAATCATTTTGTTATAGATATTTCACATAATCAAATTTTCATAATTGTTTTAAAAACTTGTCGACTCGTCTGAACGCCCTTGTCCATGCTTTTCCGAACAGCTATGTTGGGCTATTCCGAAAAAAAACGGTGTGCCCTAAAACTTGAGCTGTGACCGAAGTGTCATCGCTTCGACGCATTATCGTTTGTTTTCAATCGTGTACAGAAGGTTGATAAACACTTTCCTCGTTCCTGTTACTGATATTTGCAAATTAAGAAAAGTTCAGTAACAGGAAAGAGGAACGAGTCCCTTGATCGATATTCAGAACGAATTGGCGTCAAATTGAAATTCTAACAAGGATATGTAACCGACACGAAATACGGCCCCAGATTCCAGATAAGCCATGGTAACATTAGTCACAACTGTTAAAGACAATTTTTGTGTCAACTTTAAAAAAAAAATATACACTTACGGTGGTGCAAATATCTTTACATTATTAATTGATAGCAAGTGTTTTCACGATTCGTTTATTTGGGTTAACAAGATAACTAAGTTGCAACACTTCCTCATATCGCAAGTCTTCTGCACAAATTGCAGATCTGCAGTACTTATTACTTGATCGATCGTATAACTGACTTGTATGTATGTTCTTTTTGAGGTTGTTGTTTAAAAATATCATATTCACGGTCTTGTAGGACCAAGCAAATACGATTATCTAAGACTAATAAACATTTGGCCTTTGTGGCACTTTTAGTATCGGCTAACATTGGCTTACGTTACTGAAATTTGAGTGACTGAGTGAGTTTAGTTTTACGCCGCTCTCATCGATATTCCGGCTATATGGCGGCGGTCTGTAAATAATAGAGTCTGGACCAGTCAATCCAGTGATCAACAGCATGAGCATCGATCTGCGCATTTGGGAACCAATGACATGGGTCAACAAAGTCAGCGAACCTATCCACCCGATCCCGTTAGTCGCCTCTTACGACAAGAATGGGTTACTGAAGGCTAATATTCTAGCCCAGACCTTCACGGGTCAACTGAAATTTGAGTAATTGATATATTTTTTCACCTTTCTTCTTGTTTCGATTTATATTGTGTATGTTAAACGATAGTCTGCTGGAAGGTACTCAGGAAGCTCAGAAAGCAGAAAAAGCTGTCACAACCAGCTAGTTGAGGCAAACATACGGAAATGGAATTTTGTTCGGTAATAGCCGCTTGCTTGGTAATACGCAAAACGCCGTGAATGGTGATTTAGTAATATGTCAAAACTGGCGAGATTTATGATGCATGTAATTTTCAGTACATTTGCCCTCCCTACAATGAGCGGATGATATCATAGAAAAGCAACTGTTTCAAACAGAATTCAAAACTGCGAAGTGCATTTATCTTCGTGATGTATTACGATATGGTTTCGACATCAAAGTGAGGGTTGAGTGAGTGAGTGAGTTAATATTTAACGTCACATCGGCATAACTCAGCCATATCGTGACGAAAATAATTTATACAGTAAAAAGTGAAAACATTTTGAAGATTAAAACCTGTCGACGATGGACAGTAAAAATACTAGATAATCACAGATATAATATAAAACTAGCGAGCAAAGCTAAAACATTCCATTTAAGAAGACAATACAATATAAAACACGGGCTATAGATCGCCAACAACTGAAGGTAGATCACCATACTAGGAACCATGGGGACTTACATTACTTTTGCTTCCAACATGGAGCCTAGCTGGATTTACACCATCCCTTCAGCTGCTGTAGATTGTAGGATAATTTAGCCGAAATTTAAAAGAACAAAAATACTACATTTAAAAACCTGGTACGTGAAAAATTAACTTTGAAAGTTTTTGGGACTTACGTACCCTCTCAGGAGGGCAATAAGTTTACCCTACTTCAACCCCCTTTGAGGATACAGCCACTAACAATCTAAGTTGATAATCTGAACTACCAATTATAAAAATTATCTATTTACAAAACATATATCAAAATTCATTTAATAAATCTATCTCTTTTAAAAAATCAATGATTACATGATAATTAAATTGATTAAAAAGATCCTTTACTGTTTTGACGTTGAAATATTTATCCCTTATGATGGAGAATTCAACACAGTCAAGCAGGACATGCTTGACCGTGGTTCTCTCATCACAGGGGATACAAAAACGGAGGATCTTCACCTTTTAATAGGTATTTGTGAGTATAACTCATATGGCCAATGCGACATCGTTGCATAATGACCTCAAATCTGGACTGACAGCCCCAGTAGGTGTAACCAATATAAGGTTTTATTTCATGTAATTTGTTAATACCTACTTGGGTGTCCCACTTCTTCTGCATCAGATCACGGATGTAAGTTCTAATGCTAGCTTGGTAATCAGAGTATGGAATAAGAAGGGTGTCACATATTGATTGGATGCTGCCTTAGCAGCAAGATCAGCCATTGTATTCCCAGAAATGCCAACGTGGCTGGGTAACCAACAAAAGACGACGTCGCATTGGCCAGTAGCAAGCTCATTATACAATTCAATAATTTCTATTAAAAGTGGATGTTTACAAGTAAGATTTTTAATAGCCTGAAGACACGAAAAAGAATCTGAAAATATGGTGTATTATTTATATTTAAGTGTTTATTATGTTAATATGGCGTTAGCTTCTGCTATGAAAATAGAGCTGTTATTTGGTAGTCGAGAAGATATTGTTCTGGATCCAATGACAGTGGCACAAGCAACTGCGCCACCATCCTTGGATCCATCTGTAAATAAGGATTTGTATGTATTATTTTTATTTGTTAATTGATTATATTCTTGTTTATATTGTAATTCATTAGTTTCTGCTTTCTTGAACTTAGTTAGTGTGAGGTCAACTTGTGGTCTCACTAATTGCCAAGGAGGAGAAGAAAGAAGACGAGAAGAAGATACATTCTCCAGCTCAATGCCGGCAGCAGAAATGAATGGTTTAATACTGTGCCCAAGAGGCGGAACAAGAGAAGACTTTTTGTTATACAAATCATCATAAAGAGGATTGAAGACACAGTTAAATGCAGGGTCAGACTCGTTAGAA